TATATATATATATATATATATATATATATATATATATATTTATTGAATATATATGTATATATATATTCAATAAATACAGTCCATCTAAGCAGTTTTACACATTTCCTAACAACAAATATTCTCTCCCATTAAAATACACATATAATCCACGTAAACAAGTATACAACATGTAAACAAACATCTGGAAAGGGTGTTGCTGTCCTCTAGTGGTCAACAAGCGTCGCTACATAAAATGTGCCATCCCATCTGCCAAAGGTGGTGTTTAGGAGCTTTCGTTCAAGCTACGCAACTGTTAAAATGTTCCAAACGCAAGAAGTTCGATTTTACCACATAATAAAAACTGATACCTTCTCAACTTTTTAGTTAATTTAAATCATGAGGATTTTATGGGTAAATATAAAACTTAACAAACAACAAACAAAACAAAATCCCTCTTACTAAAAGTTTAAAAAAAAAATGAGAATATTTCTAGAATACGAGCCGACGCAAACACGTCACGCACCGCCCTCTTTTACTCTGATGACGTCACTCGCAGAATTGTCATGGCGTCTTTGAGACCGAAGCTACGGCTGCAATTTACCTAAAATCTGTCGCCAGCGCGTGTGTCGAAATGGATCAGAATGCAAACCTGCATCGAGACCCAGACGGGAAGTCTTCGTGCGCCACGATTGCGGATAAAATGGTCGACGTTCCCGATGTAGGTGGAGTGAAAGGAGGCGCCGACAAATGCAAGAGTAGTGAGGCTCCTGCTCTCTGCGTTGGTTGCGATCCCAGCAGCGCCGCTCGTGCTGGTTCTCCGAGCCTCGATGTTCCGCTCAGTACCGACAAGTCTGACGTGCCGGAGGTCATCGAAGCCCCCCCTGTGCACCAGGAGCACATGGGGGACATGGGCACGGACCCGCCGGATCCGATGAGTAACGGGATGGGGCAGGAGTCGGTGCTGTCAGCAGGAGACAGCCAGGGAGGTGCCTCAAACTTAGTAAACAACAAAACCCGCGACGAGCCGTCCTCACCTCCCGCCACACGAAGCCCAGATGCGCGTGGACAAATTGAACCGACGAAACCTGCCAAACCCACTCACCTGTGTCCGGACGGTGGAAGCGAGGCAGACGTCAAACCGGGGACGTCAGGTAATCACACCTTGTCTGAGGTGTTGCGGAGCGCGAGCGACCCGGAGCCCAGCCTCGGTGTCGAGTCCCGGAGCATCGATTCCCTGGAGTCCTTCTCCAACCTGAACTCGTGTCCCAGCTCCGAGGGTCTGGAGGACCGGGGTCTGGCCTTGGCCCTGCACAACGAGTACAGCTCGGATGGCACAAAGACTTCGTGCGCCAAGGACCGGGCCGCCGGCCAGTCCATATACCACATCAAGTGGATCAAATGGAGAGAAGAGAGCACCCCCATCATCACCCAGAACGAGAACGGGCCCTGTCCCTTACTGGCGATCATGAACGTCCTTCTGCTCGCATGGAAGGTAAATGTCCTGGGAGCGGTTTTGGAGACTTGGGTTCCCAGTTGGAGTGACTAACAGCAGGTGTGCACGCCTCTCTTTCAGGTCAAGATTCCACCCATGATGGAAATCATAACCGCTGAGCAGCTGATGGAGTATCTTGGTGAGTGTTGGCAGCTCTTAGACAAAACATGTGTAGTCTTTTAAATGCGCTCAAAAACTATGACGTCACATATATAAAGGTTTTCCAGAAATATGGATATGAAAATTCAAACCGCATTCAATGTCCACCCATCATCTTTTACCTGCTTCTTCTATTTTGAGTCATGGGGGTCCATGTCCAGAAATCACCGTGCGAGGGGCCGGGGACACCCTGGACAGGTCTCCAGTCCATCACAGGGACACAGAGACAAACGAGACAACCATTCACTTTCTCTCTCACTTAGGAATAATTTGGTTACCAATCAGTCTAACATGCATGTTTTTGTTCTGTGGGAGGAAACCGGAGCACCCGGAGAAAACCCATGCATGCACGGAGAGAACATGCAAACTCCACCCAGGAAGGCCCCTGGACCTGGATTTGAACCAGGGATCTACCAGTTGCGCCACCGTGCTGCCCTTCCCAAAGCAGCGAAATTGTGGATGTTTTTCCATATGGCCATAATTCCATATTTATAAACCAATTTTTGGCTGAGATCTGACCGTTTAATTCTGACTGAAAATATTGAACACTACCATAGATGGCATTTGAGTGTATGTCATGCCGCTGCGTCATGTAATCGCTGTTGTCCATTGTTGTCATCATTCTTTGTTGAAACCAGGTCTCTCTTGTAAATGAGTCCTCGAGGCTCAATGGGATTTACCTGTAGAAATAAAGGTTGAATGAATGAATGAAAAATAGGTAAAAGAGGCTATTAATGACACAATCGGTTTGCCATAGTCTGACACCGTCATCTGCCTGGCGCAACCGTCAAATCGGCTTCATTTCGCTGCATCGCCCCGACGAAACGAAGCCGATTTGACCATTGAAGTGCATTTATGTGAGTCACACCTTTGCTATAATGTTGAGCAAACAAATAATTATGTTTAGGTGCTTATGGTGTTAAATTTTGAAGAAATGCACAGCGAGTCCTCTCCTGCATCCGCCTACTTCCACGTATCGGCTTTTGAAATGCAGCCGATTTGACCGTCAAAGTGCATTTAAAGGGAAAAGTTAGACCGAGACTTTTAATTTCGATCAAACAAATAATAGTTTTTAAGTGTTGATCTTGTTCATTTCTTGTTAAAGTCCTCCCGTGCACGTTCCCGCGGCCACCATTTGGCAGCCAATCGATTTCTGGCACAACACCGGCACACATTTCCGGGTTGTCGGCAGTGACGCATGATAGATGCGACTTATACGGCGAAGTGACGTATTTATGGATTTTTCCACTTTATTAGACGTATTTGGACTGATGCAACTTATAGGGCGGTGCAACGGGTACGGCAGCAAATACAGTATTTATTCATCTTTTTGGTCCCGTCCTAATGACAATGAGTCATTAAGCCATAACCTTATTGAAACCGTCTCTGTTTTTACTCACTATGATTTTTCTTAGGTGCTTTCAAAATAAAGCCCACGAGTCTAGGCTTGTGATCCCAGTAAGTTTCAACATCATCCTGTTTCTTGTCCTCTCCATTGAGACAATCCCAGACTTCGAGAAAGAGGCTTGAACAGAGGAATCCCCCATCAGCCAACCTGCTGCTGCTGTAGAGGAAATGGGAGCCATCTTGTCTCCGTAGCTGCGTCCTGTTCTGCTCAACTGTGGTGCAGTTTTAGATTAAAGTGAGGACGAGTTCGCCTCACAGTTGACTGTAAGGACAGTCCACAAAATGAGTCTTGTGTGGGGCTCAGGACGTTTTGTGGTACTTCCAGCCTCAGCTTGGCCCTGGTTTTTGTCTCGACAGTGACAAACTACACGGGTGATGAGTTTCAGTGCCACATGCACTTACTGTGCAATCTGTGTCTAGGGATTCAAATATGAAGTTTGTCAACCAGTCCAAACATCTTGTGAAATTAGGGCTCCTGTTGTAATTACTGTTTCTGACTGAAGCAACACTTTGACTTTGTTTTGTGACGTGTAGGCTCAGGGTTGGATTTTCATTTCTTGCTGAAAAGCTTTCTAGGTTCATTGTTGGGGTCGTAAAGTAACGAAGGCCTCATTTCTCCTGAAAGCACTTTTCTCATCCTATCCTGATGCATGCTCAATAATCCAGGTAGAAAAATCTAAAAAAAAAACTAAAAAAGTGAGGAAAAGTGAGTTTTTGTGGACCAGATTTAACTTTTTTAGATTTTCTCATCCTAGTTGCTTGAATGCTTTTTTTTCTTCTTCTTGGAAGCTTCTACTTTTGTTAATGAAAATAAGTTGTTGATCTTTAATTCCTTAGAGAAATATGTATGGTGGTCCTACATTTGAAAAAACGAAATTACTTTTTTTTTTCATTCATTCGTTCAACCTTTATTTATACAGGTGAATCCCACTGAGCTTCAGGGACTCATTTACAAGAGAGACCAGAATTTTTAACAAAGAGTGATGACAACAGTGGACAACGACATCAATAGACAATCGTAAAAGATGCGTACAGTTTTTTTTTTAACAAGTTAAAATAAAATGGCAACCAAAAGGAAAAGGAGCGAAAAAACGGCTAGATTGTAAGGTAATGTGGAAAACCAAAAACAGGAGCATGTCTGCATTGGTTTTTGCCAGAAACTATTACATTAAGCCAAAGCAGAAGTGGCCAGAATCACATTTGAAGGAAAAAAAAACGGAATTACATTTGAAAAAACAGAATTACATTAAGCTAGAGCGGAAGTGGCCGATGCGAAAGTGGCTGAAGCGGAAGTGGCCGAAGCAGAAGTGACCGGAATCACATTTGGAAAAAAACGGAATTACGTTTGAAAAAACGGAATTACATTTGAAAAAACTGAATTACATTAAGCTAGAGAGGAAGTGGTCAATGCGGAAGTGGCCGAAGCGGAAGTGGCCGGAATCACATTTGGAAAAAAACGGAATTACGTTTGAAAAAACGGAATTACATTTGAAAAAACAATTACATTAAGCTAGAGAGGAAGTGGTCAATGCGGAAGTGGCCGGAATCACATTTGAAAAAACGGAATTACATTAAGCCAATGCGGAAGTGGTGGGGTTTTTTTTTGTGTGTATTTTTTTTAACTGTACCTCCATTGTGTGTGTACTGTACATTATTCTGTTGTTCTGTTTTATGTTGTTAATAAAGTAAAAAAATTAATAAAACACACACACACAAAAAAAAAACACCACTTCCGGTTTGGCTTAATGTAATTCCGTTTTTTTCAAATGTTGTGTTTTTGTTGTGTTTTTACAAATGTAATTATATATATATTTTTTTTTTCATTTCCACCTTAGGGCCACCGTACATGTGTGACTGTGCAACACTTTTGCCTTTTTCTAAACAAATAGTGACTCACTGCAGAACCATCTGAAGAACATTTGTTCAAAACTTTTCAAACATTAACAGCTGCAGTCAGGTTGCATTTCAATGGTTTTTATAGCCAGATTTTAAATTTACATCATCAATAAACTATTTGTGAGAAAGCCACAATATTGCTTTTGTTCTGATGTGCCATGATCAGCTGAGTTTAACTCGGAGGGGGAAATGACTCCTAATCCTGGCGCTGTAGTTTGCTGTGCAGGTAATTCAAAGCAGCAGATGTGTACCGGTAGTTCTGATCAGCCGGAAACTTTGAGAGTCAAACGTTTACGAGGCTGTGAGCGTCGATGCAATGCCTTCTGTTAGGAGCATCTGACAGATTCTGGTTCGAAGTTGAAGAAATCTGTTGTGATATTTATTGATAGTCATGTTGGTATTATTTGTCCCGTTCCACAGCGAGTCAACGTCTCTTGATCTGATCTCTGCAGGTGACTACATTTTGGAAACCAAACCAAAAGAGATCTCCGAGGCTCAGCGGTTAAACTACGAGCAGGTAAGCGTTGCCCATTTCCTACAACGTTCATTCTTAAAGAGGAGTGTTTGCGCTTTTCTGTGTCTTACTAAGCCGAAGACTGTTCGTGGTATGTGGAGCACAGGGTTGTAGAGGTGAGCTCATGTTCCTCTCTCCTGACACTATGTATGGAATTTGTGAAAGTTTAACACAAGCTCTTTGTCTCACTGACACACTCGGAGGATCTCGCAGCTGTTTTTTTACATTTTGTGTAGAAAATGAGTGATCTAATTTCATCCATCCATGATCTTTACCCGCTTCTTCCTTTTTGGATCGTGGTGGTCACTGGTGCTCATATCCAGCAGTCACTGTGCGGGAGGCGGGGGACACCCTGGACATGTCTCCAGTCCATCACAGGGGCACATGGAGACAACCATTCACTCTCTCTCACCTAGGGACAATTTAGAGTTACCAATCAGCCTAACATGCATGTTTTTAGTCTGTGGGAGGAAACCGGAGCACCCGGAGAGAACATGCAAACTCCACCCAAAAAGGTGCAACCTGCTCCCTGAGAGGCGGCAGCTCTACCAGCTGCACCACCGCCCGTGATCTCATTTAATTTAATTCTCTTTATTTAACCGGATTAAACCCTACTGAGGTCAAGATTTCAATAGGAAGGGGGGACCTCTGGTGTCCGTGCGTCTGCATGCTTCAGACTGACGCAGGTTTGCACATTTGCATCGAGGCAGCGTTTTTCACCGGGCGTTCAGTAAAATGGAAATAAGCACACAGTTGATCGCACACCACATGATGAAGCTGCATTTTAGTCTTCCTGCTCCTCTATAGGTTGCATAATAAGTGGAGTCTTGCAGGGCGCAGGCAGCATCAGGGGTCAGTAGTGTCAGATTCTGTTGTTTCGCATGGCGGCAAATGCTAAGAGACGCATGGCTGGGTTCAGCTCGGGGCTATTACCGAGGCTGGCTTACCACGAAAGGCACTTGGAGATGGAGCTCCGGCTTCTCGCTTCCTCCCATCTCCACAGCCTGCCTACAGTGCAGGGGGGGCCTTGCCGTGGCAGCACACGAGCACATCTGTGAATGATTTGAAGCCGCACTTCAGTGAGAGACGAGTAAAAATGTTGTGCAGGTTCCTCTTGGAAGCTCACTGGAACGGAGTTTCTAATTTTAAGTCGAACTGAAATACAACCTCCTAAATACACCAGTGGCGTTCTCAGCATGCAGAGATGGAGCAGTGGAGCGGCCTTGTTATTATGGGCGTCTAATCACTGGTCTGGGAGCTGTTTCACATGTGGGTGTCGTCATGTCCGTTTGCCATCTGTTATAGCACCGTGGTTGGTTGACGCAGCAGTTGGGAACTACAGTGGGATGACTTCTGGCAAGCTGGGATGTTTGTGTCAAACATTCCTCATATAGTCCATGCTCAATAATCCAGGTATCAAATCCAATGTTTTTCAGTCAGGTCATCTGGACAGTTTCGTTTTTTGTGCTGAAACGTTTCGCCTTCGATCCAGAAGGCTTCATCAGTCAAGGAAACGCACAACAAAACTGATTCTTCCTCCAACAGTTTACTCCAAAGTGGAACAAACCAGTTCTGCTTGTGATAAGATGGTCTCCTTGGATTATTGAGCAAGGACTTTGTTGTTTTCAACCAGTTTGACAAGACTGTCAACAAGGAAGAGGGCCGGCAATGGAGGAGGGGCATGCCAAAGAAACCATCTAATCACAAGCAGAACTGGTTTGTTCCACTATGGAGTAAGCTGTTGGGGGAAGAATCAGTTTTGTTGTGTGTTTCCTTGACTGATGAAGCCTTCTGGATCGAAGGCGAAACGTTTCAGCACAAAAAAAGAAACTGTCCAGATGACCTGACTGAAAAATGTTGTCGAGAAATGTGATTATTTAATGGATTCTGATCAAATACAAATTTCTGTTCTTGGGCAGGAACGAACTGCTGAACTTCATGACTCGAGTCGTTCTGTTAATAAGTTTGTTCTGAAAAACGCATGTCGCAGGAAAGCATTTGGACTTGGCTGCCTGCTCTTTAGCTTTTGTTAAAAATTCACCCAGAGGAGCTGAAGAAGTGGAGAGAGGAGTTTTGCTTTGGTCTCACTGGAATCAGCTCAGCACGGTGATTCATCCATGATGGCTGTTCAGGGGAGGAACTGGACTTTTGAGTTTAAGAAACACGGGGGTCTATTTACTGTAACAGGTGATCCAGTTCTTCGTTAGATGCTTTGACTTTGTTCTGAATAAAACGCAGCGGCTTAGTCTCAAAAAGTAAAACTCTCTTGTTTAATGTGATCTGCATCATTTTTTTTTAATAGCTGAAGGATAGCATACTTGAGCTTGGACAATAGCACAGTAAGAATGACTATTGATTGTTAGTACTGCAACAATTAAACTCAGCTAAGTTGATCAGGTCCATATGGAGAACAGATCGCTGTGTGGAGAGTCTATCAGCTGCACCGACTGGTCTTAAGGCGCACGTGTGCAAATTAATTTAATGGTTTACTGTAGCTCCACTGGGAAAAGCATTTTTGTTTAGAAAGTTTGCTGTCAGTTTATCTTGGTCATAATTAAAGGAATGAATCGGGCGATCATATAATGTAAAATTACCATTATGTTCCTTTGATCAGTAAACTTTAGTTTAGATTTTTTTTAGTCTGCTGTGTAATATATACATATATGCATATATTAATTTAGTGTGTCCAAGGAGACTTAAAGCAGTAGTTATTTAATAATTATTTACGCTATAAGACACATTGCAAGATGCTGTTATTTATTTTACAAAATTATAATTGTTTGCATTTGCTAAAAATCATTAAAAAAAAAAAATGTTATTTAGACAAGTCCAGCAGGAAAGCTATATTTCTACAGGAATGAACCTGTAAGTTTAAAATATTACGGTTTGTAGGACAGCGTATGCATAATCACAATAAAAAAATAATAAAATAAAATGAGTTTTGGAGTGGTTTTTAAAATGGCAACAATCCATTTTGGTCTTAGCCTTGCTCAAACTTGCCATTATTTTGCTAATCTGGTCAATAATAAACTTTATTTCTCCAAACGTGTTATTCAAGGAGCTGTTTACTCACTTCAAATGATCTGTACTGCTCCTTTAATTTATTTATGCCAATTATAATCAGTATCCGCACATGTATCCGATATCTAAAATCTTCATTCCCTGTTATCCTGATACTTGCTCGGTAATCCAGGTAGAAGCATCTATAAAAGTTAAATCAGATTTAACTTTTGTAGGTTCATTCCCTGTTGTGACTTTTCAACAAAATATAAATTGTTGAAGGATAACAGTGTTTTTGGTCAGACGTCAGCGTATGAGATGCAGATAAAATCCTAAACCCAAAACTCTTTGATTTGCACATGTTGTGATGATCTAATGTGGGAATCACTGCACGGATTATATCACGTGTTGCGTTTCAACTAAACTATGCTGTTGTGAGAAAATGTCCCAGTAGAAGCTCACGGTCTCTCTCTTTCAGTCCAACACTGTGTTACCACTTTCATCAACATCCATTTAATCAGATCTACTCAGGGTTCTGGTGATGGACACATTCTGGATGAAAATCAAGAGAGAGAGAAAGAACGTCTTGGAAACAGAACATTCCCAGCACATTCTCACTGAGTCTTGTGCTAATGTGACGCCAAGTGAATGCGATTCAGAGCTACTGTGTTTTCCTCCGTACACATCGCAACGCCCTATAAGTTGCATCCGTCCAAATATGTCTAATAAAGTGGAAAAATCCATAAATACGTCGCTTCGGCGTATAAGTCGCAGGGCATGCAAATTATGCAAAAATCCACGACTTATAGGGCGAAAATTACGGTAGTCGTCTGATCTCCAAACACTCTTTAGCCGTTGGAGCCCCTCGGCTCTAAAGTGACAAGATGTGATCCATTTCATTTCTACAAATCCAACCATTACTGCTGCCCTGACGTATCCTGATGCACACAATTTGATGAGTTGGCAGCTTTTGGACCTACCGGTGCACCAAACATCAAAACAGCAGAATTACACTACTCTGTATGCACGCTAATTTCTACATCTGAATTGTACTTCAGCATAAAAAATAAAGTTATTCGCTTCAAGGATGCTTTAAATCCCTAACACTTGTGAAAAACACGGATCCATTTTTAGCAAAAACACTCTTCATATGTTTAAATTATATATCGTGGGGTTTTTTTTATATCTTCCCCTAATCTAATCCCCTATCTTTGACACGACTGTCGACAAGGAAGAGGGCCGGCAGTGGAGAAGGGGGCGTGCCGGGGAGACCATCTTGGCACCGGCGGGGCTGGTTTGTTCCACTTTGGAGTGGGCTGTTGGGGGAGGAATCAGTTTTGTGTTGCGCGTTTCCTTGACTGATGAAGCCTTCTGGATCGAGGGCGAAACGTTTCAGCACAAAAAAAGAAACTGTCCAGATGACCTGACTGAAAAATGTTGGATCTTCCCCTAATGTTTGTTTCATGTTTTTGCTTAAACAGTGATTATTATATTATTATTAAGCACTGGGTTTATAAGCTCAAACATCCAGGTAGACAATAAAAATGGCTAAATCATGTCATCTGGACCTGTTTCAGAAACGGGTCCAGATGACATGATTTAGCCATTTTTGTTAATTCGGCACAGTTTTTCTGTGTCAGATCGGCATCGGATCGGTATCGACCGAAACTAAACAGCAGGTATCGGCTCGGAAGTGGAAAAAGTGAATTGGTGCATCCCTAGTCCTGATAGGACAAAATGTGAAGAGATCTTTTTTGTAATGCCACTATCCTGTCATGGCCTTTTCCCTTTTCCTTTCTAAAAGAATAAGGGGCCGCGCTCTTAGGAGCCGCAGCCACGTGCACTTCGCCCATCTTTCGGACGACTGTACGAACATAATCTCGCTGTATTTCGTTACAGTGATAATAAAGATTATTCTGAGGGGGGGTGCACATGTTCAGGTCCTAAAGCTGAGCTCACCTGATTGTAGTTTCTGCTTTTTAATCCTTTCAAAATCAGCTTCAATAGCAGAAACAATTCATTATCTAAATTTTGTTTCAGTTTTTTTGTGGTTGTTCATCCCAACTGGAAAAGCACCGTTAAGAAACAGACTGTTGAGAAGGTTGCATTAATTCTTCAAGTTTGCTTATTTTTGTTAGGCTTTAAATATTCCAAGTCACTGCTCATTTCTAGTCAAAAAGACTGTGATTGTAATTTACCTTTGATCTATTTCTGGTTTTAATGGCTAGTCCAAGTGGAGCCAAGACCAAAGCAGTTTGCTGCTCTCTTTAAATAATTTCAATCTCAAAAATCTCGTAGTGGCTCAAGTTATTTTACAAATCTTTGTACTGCCGTCAGTTTTACTGTATTTGGTTATTTCAGGACAAACGTCGTTATATTCCTGCTGGAAATGCACCAGGAAGTGCTTCAGCTAGTTGGTGCTGATTCTATTTGTGTTTGCAAATTACCGTATATTCTTATGTTGAATGAATGCGTAATGTGAAACTGGTGGTGTAAAGGTTTTCACATGAGCCACTGTAAATATTTGTTTTTCTACTGGCTCCCAGTGCTTTTTAGTTCGAGCCATGCAGAATGTTGAACTTCGCCTCTCTGCAAAAACAAAACGTCACTGTAAAGATGATCGGTGGCAACTTATGCTTGTTTTAAAGCTGTTTATGTTGCTCGGCTTTTACAGTGCTCTCACGTTTTATGCACTAATGCATCCCCATACCATAATGGATGCTGGCCTTTCAACTGATGGCACTCAACTTTATTCTTCAGAACACAGGACAGTTTCCTGCTTCAACACTGTCCGTTTCATATTAGCTTTGTGCCCAAGGATGGAGACATGGTTTCTGAGTCCATCCATCCATCCATCCATCCATCCATCCATCCATCAATCTGTCCATCCATCCATCCATCCATCCATCCATCCATCAATCTGTCCATCCATCCATCCATCCATCCTCCACCTGTTCCCAAGTCAGGTCTTGGGTGCAGCATCTTGAGCAGGGAGATCCAGACATCTCTTTCCACAGCCACCTCTTCCAGCTTTTCTGGGAGGACTCCAAGGCGTTCCCAGACCAACAGAGAGACGTAGTCTCTCCAGCGTGTCCTGGGTCTTCCCCAGGGTCTCCTCCCAGTTGGACATGCCCGAAGCACCTCCCTAGGGAGGCACCCAGGGAGCATCCTTACCAGATGCCCGAACCGCCTTGGTTTCTGGGTCTTGTTTTGTGTTTGTTTTCTTAATTAAGCCTTACGTGTAAAGTTTAGGTAATATCATCCAAGGATTAGTGCAGCATAAAACAAGCATTTGGTTTTTCAGGTAAAATATTAATACCCAAATATAATGTATCTACAAACTTCCTCTAAAAAACATGCAGAAAAATAAACGGATATTTCTGCTTTACAATGGACTCTGTTTCCAGGTGTTTGTTTTCTTGGATTATTTTCAAGAATATCCCATAATTGTGTTTTATTCTATCATAAATTAGGGTTGAATTATTAGTGGGGAAAGATGTTGCATAAACAGTTACAATCTAGTATCTGAGCTCAGTCAGCTTATGGCAGCAATCATGGATTTATTTTGCCACTAAAGTTTGGTGGCAGAGCGGGGTACTATATAAAAACATGAGTACAAATACTAAAGAACCTTTTCTTATTTTAAGCATCCGTCTAGTAAAATCTTTAAAACTGAACTTGGCACTTGCAGTGGGTAACTTGTGTAAATTATTTGTCTTTTCCAGAACATGAGTGACGCCATGGCAGTGTTGCACAAGCTGCAGACGGGCCTGGATGTGAACGTGAAGTTCACAGGCGTGCGAGTCTTTGAGTACACCCCAGAATGCATCGTGTTTGATCTGCTCGACATCCCTCTTTACCACGGCTGGCTTGTTGACCCCCAGGTGAGATGGATCTTGTTTTCTGAGATGCAGCTCGATCTATTCTTGTCCTGTTTTTGAACTCCGAGGTATCCTCTCTGTCAGACGGAGGCTGTTTTCACACTTGATGCGTTTGGATTCATTTTTATTTTTGTAGGCTGAGTCACTTCTTTCTTCACGCTGACTTGCTTTGTAACAGTTAACTGGCTGGGAACAAAGTTTGTGAGCTCAACCAGCTAGATCGATAACTTAAAAGGTTCAATCATGTCTCTCTTAAAGAAACTGGTCAAGATGACGATTTAACCTTTTTTGTTAACTGGCTGGAAACTACAGAACGCACTTGTGTCTAAGCCACACATACTAAATAAATACAAAATTTGTACATAAATAAGACGCTCCGTTTATTAAGCCGCGAGCATCCACTGTTCATCGTCTGGATCTGTGCCCAGCTCCGTCAGTGTGCAGCTTTCTTGTTGTAGTACAAAAATCAGCCACCGGGTGGCGTTTCATGGACTAGCTTGCTTTCAACACACGTTCAGACTGGATGATGGTCATACGTCTTCCTGATGCTTCGCTGTGTGACTCGTGGTTAAAACCATTCAACCTACAAAATGAACACAATGACTATCTTAGCGTAATCACTAGGGGTCTAACAATACATCAGTTTAAATCGATATATCGATTAAATGGTTAATGATTCAATTATATCGTGGCAAAACTAAAACATCGATTCATATCGTCATCTTTAAAATATGCTTTTATTTTGAAATTCCCAAGGCATGTCTGTGTCACCGTTTCCGTGCGTGGCCGCGCTCTGCGGCCGCCTCAGCAACACGGCAGACGAGGCAGAAAGCACAGATAATGAAATTCACTCTCCTGCTGGATTTAAATCAACACTTTGGAAATATTTTGGATTCCGACAGAAGGACGGCTCAACAGACAAAACTCGTGTTGTATGCATGAGGTGCCAGTGTGAGTTAAAATACTCAGGAAAAACAACAAATTTTGCCGTTCACCTGAAGAGGAAACACGGCATTGATAGCCATGTTATGTAAGTTTAATATCTATTTTTGTTTCTTTAACTGAAAGGTAATCAGGGCACTTTTAAGTTAACTGGTTTAAAAAATGCACTTAAACATGAGAAATGAGAGACTTTACTGAACAGGTCATTTATTCTTATTTTTTCATTAATTAAGAAAAAAATGTTTTATTTAAATGCCTGGTGCCTGTAATAACAGAAATAAATGGTTAAATCATATTTGAATTGTTTTCGTAAATTTATTTAAATGTAAACGAGATGGGCATTTGATATCGCAATATATTGATCGCAGATTTGTGAATCGAATCGAAATTGTATCGTGACAGACTGTGATATCGAGAAAAATCGTATCATCATAAAAACAAATCAACATAATATCGTATCGTGGTAAAGCTGGTGATTTACACCCCTAATAATCACTGGACAGAACAGTGCCAAACACCGTTTGTCAGCGTTTGAAAATGTTAGTCAGCGGCAGGAAGTTACCGAGAGACGGCAGGAAGTCTGTCAAAATAAAATATAACAATATAGCTTGTGAAAATTATGAAAAAAAAAACATAAATAAGACGCTTCTGCAAATAAACCGCGGGGTACAAAGTGTGAGGAAAAAAGTACTGGCTTATACACCGACAATTATGGTAATTACACAAACATTTTTTATTTTTATGAATTATAGGTAGCGCTTCCTCCCATATTGAAACCTTTTTTTTTTTTTTTTACGATTTCACACATTGCAGCAAAAGTTTTAATCCATTTCTCATTGTGCTCCCCCCCCCCCCCATTTCTGTCTGTGCACATTTTAAAATCTGGCACATTGCAAGTATGTGGCAGGTGAATAGATTTAAATAAATATACAGACATAAAAAAAAAATTAGCACCTATAAACCTGAACAAGGCTCCAGATGATAATAAAGCCAGGTTTAGTTGATTTATTTACTGCATGGTCACTTTTTTAAGCACTTTTTTTCAGATGTGGTCAAGCATGACATCATTTACAAGGTTTGACCAAAATAGCTGTTGCTTCTTCGCACAAGATGATTTCAGTTTAAAACTTTGGCGTGAGCGTTACGAGTTCTTTCAAGGAATGTCAGACCTTTGAATTAAGATGCTTTTTTTGTCACCAACCTGTTGAAACACCGAGGTTCGGTGGACAAAGGGATATTAGCAACAACTTTAAGAGTAACTTAGTGAAAGAAAGATGATTGCTTTTATATACCCGTGGTTAAATGTGCCAAATATAAAAATGTGCTTTACCATAGCAATCAAAGTTTAGTTGTTAAATTAAAAAACAAATCCTATTTTAAGGTTTAAGTGAATCTGCTGCTTGTTTTAGTCGGTCAACATCTTTGTGTTTGGTGCAGGTTCTCACAGTTTTTATCTGTGTGTGCAGATGCAGGACATTGTCAAGGCAGTGGGCAACTGCAGCTACAACCAGCTGGTGGAGAAGATAATATCCTGCAAACAGTCGGACAACAGCGAGCTGGCGGGCGAAGGTAAGAGATCTCTTCACTCCTCCTCTTCGGCCGCCTCCTTATCGTCGGCCTTTTGTCTTTGGTCAGCTGGAGAAGCAAAGCCAAAAAGTTGGGTTTGGAATTGGTCTTTTTAACTGGCCTGACGGTAATTACCAGTTAAATGTTTGCTGCAGATGCACTCTGCATAGAACCACAAGCTGAGTCAAACATTCATGGTGTACATAGAACTGATTGTTAGGTGACCTACCGTAATTTCCGGTCTATAAGCCACTATTTTTTTTACACGCTTTGAACACCACGGCTTGTACGGTTTATGGATTTTTATTTATTTATTTATGTTTTTGACAGGCTAACGAGCTTCATGTCACCAAAACATTTAGCCTCATCACACCCAGGCACTTGCATATCTGTCCAATACACGTCTCTCTTGGGGGTTGTCCCCCCCCCCCTCCCTGCGGAAGTTTCCCCCTCGTTGCACACGACAAAGTATTTGCAGCCACTTGAAATAAGTGCGAATCGTAAATCAAATCAAATCGCGAATTTGCCCCGAGAGGAAAGTGACGTTGAGAGCGACGGTGAAAGAGACTGAGGACGCGCGTGATGACGTTTTTCAATTCTTTCACTGAAGAAGACGACTTTAGTGGTTTTAGTGCACAGGAGGAAGATGAAGATAGAGATCAGTTTTGTTGGGGAAAACAAAGATCTCCTCCTCTCCCCTGCCCGGGTTGTTTGCTCGGAAGGAACACGCATATGTCAGAATTAACATCATCTTTATTTTTACAGACTTCAAAATGTGTGAGCAAGAGAGAATTGTATATATTTTACCTCATTCAGGGGCCCTCTGTACAATTCTGACCTGTGTCAGGTCTCTTTCCACCCTTATAGACTCCATTTCTCCCCTCGTGACACTTCCTGTTTTCAGTTTCTATCCAATCAAACACCTTATAAAGTCCCTCCTATTCCCCATTCTGTCCACTCAGTCAAGCACACATTAGCTGTCCTCTCTTTACACTGAGTGTGTGACACATGCCTATATTTCCATTAGAGAGATTTAAGCACCCAGTTGATCTTAGTTAACTTGACAAGAACCTTTGAGGTTGATGTTTTGTTTCTCATTAAAGGCCTTATAAGAAACTATTTTCCTACTGACAGCAGAACGTTTCATGGTTGATTAAAAAAGTTAGCAGTCACTAAAAAGATATTTATCGGCTTATAGCCTAGTTTACACATCTACAGATATTCTAGCCATCGTTATATGATCTATTTTCCATAATTCATCATTAAACCTTATAGTCACCAACCCATATTATGTTATTTTCCACAATTCATCATCAAAGGTTATTTTATTCCAAACAGTGACTTCCTGGTAGGCTACTATATATATATATATATATTTTTTTTTTTTTAACCATCCGTGTTACAGGCACTGTCCAGAAAAACACATTTACTGTACGTATTTGTTTGTTACCGGTACGTATTTAATTCAAAGTTTAAAAAATCTTCTCTGTGTAAATATCTCATGTTATAACATGAACGCCTGTGGCTTATAGACAAGTGCGGCCTATATGTACTTTTCTTTTTTTTATATTTAGTTAGTGGGTGTGGCTTATATTCAGGTGCGCTCAGTAGTTGGGAAATTACGGTACTTCTTTAGCTCACAGTTTTTTTAATGTCAGTGATGTCTTGATACTGAGCACTTCTCTGTTTTAGCTCTAGGACTGCAGCCCCAGGAAGTAAAAAATAAATAAATTAATTAATTAATTAATTAATTAACCAGCATCGTGCTGTTAGTATTCACCACTTTTTATTGAAATAACTTAAGGGTTTTAGGAATTTGGGGTTGAAAACTATGTTGCATCCACAATTTTGTTGAACGTATTTGGTTAAAAATGTCATTTTAAAAAACAAAACGTGCAAAAAAGATTAAAATAAGTTATCCTTACACCTATTCCAGACCTATCAGCATGTTTCTTATTATAATTGAAGGTCATGCTTCTTTATTTGCTGCTCGACTCTGTGTGTTTGTCTTCCACCTTGTTGTGGGCCAGGCATGGTGGCGGAGCAGTTTCTGAACAGCACAGCCACTCAGCTCACGTACCACGGCTTATGTGAGCTCACGTCCACCGTACAGGAAGGGGAACTCTGCGTGTTTTTCAGGAACAACCACTTCAGCACCATGATCAAATACAAGGTAATCACTATGAATGCTGACCATATGTTCTAACTTGTGGCTTCATGAGTTCACAGCGGAGTTTGGTGTGTAGAGCTGATCGGGTTACAAATAACATAAGATAGGTCAGGAGGGCTCGGTATCATCTGTCCTCCCTGCCTTTGACTTTTAAATGTTATGCTGGGTTTTATGTGATGTATGCTTACATGGCAGGGACAAATGAAAATTCACTCTGTTGTATGACACACATGACTTTTGGAGTCTAGATGGCCACATCATCCAATATCTGTCACTATGACGGATACTGAGCTAAAATTTGACGTGCTAGTAGCTGAGAGATTTATGCAACAGGTACACAGTTATAGATAATTTTAGACCAGTATCCATAAGTGGTCCTGTAACCTCAGCTGGTTTCATGTATAATTGCAGCTGGAGCAGACCTTTCCTGTTATCTGCAGGAGGGGAAGTGCGAGTCTGCCAACTTATATTTTGAAAAGCACACCATTGTTGCCAGTGCAAGCAAACCTGTGTGTGTGTTCGATAACACACATGCAACACTCATGTCATCATTTATCTGTGGGCATAAACTTACAGACACAAGCCGTTAAAACTTAAACATTTGCACATTATACATCTCTACAGTCGGTAAAATTATTCATATATATATATATATATATATATATATATATATATAGTGGCAACATTTTAAAGTCTGTATAAACAATGTGTATGCAATTGTTTCCAGGGCCAGCTGTACCTTCTAGTTACAGACCTGGGTTTCCTGACCGAGGAGAAAGTCATCTGGGAGAGTCTGCACAACGTTGACGGAGATGGAAACTTCTGTGATTCGGAGTTCCGGTTGCGACCCCCTTCCGATCCAGAGACCGTGTACTGTGGCCAGCAGGATCAGATAGACCAGGTCTGAGCTCACCGGTGCACGCAAGACTAGCAGAAGCAGTGAGAATCCATCTCAAACTTTAATACACTTTTCTCATTCCTTGTATCAAGACAGAGGGCTTAATCCAATTTGTTTCATTTTTACAACATTTGACAGGGAAGAGACTAGAAATGTAAATTACAGAGACATGCAATAAACAAAACACTTAGGTTTATTCCCAAAAAACACAAAAAAGTGAATAAAACAAAAAACCTTGGAATAACTCTTAGCTGAGAATACAGGAAAGTGTTTTTGAATAATAGATGTGTATCAACTCCCATGACAATGTTCTAATGTAACTTTCTACCAGAAGCTTGAAAATATCATTCCTTTGTTCATCATATACCACTATGTTTTAGTATAAAGTATGTAGTATACTTCATCATATACCACTATGTTTTAGTATAAAGTATATAGTATACTTCATCATATACCACTATGTTTTAGTATAAAGTATGTAGTATACTTAATC